TCAGGCGGTTGTTTGTTGTTTCAGTTGTTTTCAGTTGTTCAGTTGTTTCAGTCAGTTGTTTCAGTCAGTTGTTTCAGGCGGTTGTTTCAGGCGGTTGTTTCAGGCGGTTGTTTCAGGCGGTGGACGGGGCAGAAGGACAGAACTCTGTGGCTGAAGTGCAATGTTTACAACAAGAAAATATTTAATGATTGACCAAAGAGTGAAACGGATGACAACAGGTTTGTATAACGGCTGTAAAAGTGAACACAGGAGGCATAAAGTCTGATATGAAGGACCTGACTCAACCCTGGACTTCTATATTAAAGAAAAAAAAAGGAACAAAGTACGCAGCGAGAAGGAAAGGCCCTGAAGACGAGAAACTGACTCTGAGCTTTAGTCATGTTCTAACGCTGTGACCTCCTCAGAATGTGGAACAGAGTTTTCAGTTTGAGAGAAGAACTCGAGTTAAATGTGCAGCTTTTCTGGGTTAAACATGTGTGAGTGAAATAAAACACAACCAGGTCAGTTTGTCATGAGGAAACAACATTAGAACAAATCAGGAAATGGTCTAATATGGGCGTTCAACAGGAGGAGGAGCTCAGCGTCACAGTCTGAGGAGGATCTGCTGTGGAGAAGTTCACTTCACTGAAAATACATGTGAAACTGACAGAAAGCAAAAAGCAGCTCTCAGATGTGTATTTTAGTTTTTATTTTACTTTGGCAAAACTTGAAAGATTCAGCATTAGACCTTAGATTGTGTAAATGGACAAAACTGACCCACGAGCCGCTGCGTTTCACACAGGAAGTGAACATGGGCACGCTCCAGGCTCCACTGACTCTGGTTCCAAGTCACGTTCTGTAGAAAAAAAACACGGTCCGTCTCTCTGGAGCTGCTGCTGTCAGGCTCATCATTTTGGTCTTAAAATGTTCAGATTAAACTGTTCCACATGATCCTAGAGACAAATCAGGCGTGACACACAAAATAAAATCTATTTACACTCATTCTGAACACAACATCTAAGAGGACAGTGACCTCCAGGATCCAGGAATGAGGCCAAACTGAAAATGACGCAAGATGTTTTTGTCCAACACTACAGTGACAAACAAACACAAACCAGTCCAGCATGTTCTCTGAGCTACACCGAGGTCCATCTGAGGTCCATCTGAGCTTCATCTGAGGTCCATCTGAGGTCCACCTGAGCTTCATCTGAGGTCCATCTGAGGTCCATCTGAGGTCCATCTGAGGTCCATCTGAGCTTCATCTGAGGTCCATCTGAGGTCCACCTGAGCTTCATCTGAGGTCCATCTGAGGTCCATCTGAGGTCCATCTGAGGTCCATGGCTCTTTCACTGTGACCTCTGGAGCTGTCGTCTGAACAGGGCACTGAAACACACATCTACATCCACACACTCCAACATGTGTGTGAGTGTGTGAAGAAGTTTTCTGAGTGTGACGTCACCACAGCGTCTGGCTCCAAAGGAAGCTCATTGAGGCCAGCAGTTACAGAAGCTTTCACTTTAGGAGTAAATAGGAATTTATTTACGGACAAAACAGTGAAATAAAAACCCCAGGATCATGTAGAGCTAAAGAGTTAAAACAAACATTTAAGACCAAAATGAGTCGATGGAGCTGGACGCGCGCACACGCTCACTTCTTTTGGCGATTTCGCTCTGTCCGTTTATATTTACAGTGTACGACCTAATATCCTTCACGCCGATGCAGTTTGTGAAGGAAGGAGACAGGAGGCGCTAAATCTAAACCATGTGTCTGTACCGTTCACCGACAAACCTACCGATGAACCCACAGACGAACCCACAGACGAACCCACAGACGAACCCACAGACGAACCCACAGACCCACAGACGAACCCACAGACGAACCCACAGACACAGAACCCACAGAACCCACAGACGAACCCATAGACGAACCACAGAACCCACAGACGAACCCACAGACAAACCCACAGACGAACCCACAGACAAACCCACAGACAAACCCACAGACGAACCCACAGACAAACCCACAGACGAACCACAGAGAACCCACAGAACCCACAGACGAACCCACAGACGAACCCACAGACAAACCCACAGAACCCACAGACAAACCCACAGACGAACCCACAGACGAACCCACAGACAAACCCACAGACGAACCCACAGACAAACCCACAGACGAACCCACAGACAAACCCACAGACAAACCCACAGACGAACCCACAGATGAACCCACAGACAAACCCACAGACGAACCCACAGACGAACCCACAGAACCCACAGAACCCACAGACAAACCCACAGACGAACCCACAGACAAACCCACAGACGAACCACACGAACCCACAGATGAACCCACAGACAAACCCACAGACGACCCACAACAAACCACAGACAAACCCACAGACGAACCCACAGACACAGAACCCACAGACGAACCCACAGACGAACCCACAGACGAACCCACAGACAGACAAACCCACAGAGACATAGATGAACCCACAGAACCACAGACAAACCCACAGACGAACCCACAGACAACCCACAGACGAACCCACAGACAAACCCACAGACGAACCCACAGACGAACCCACAGACAAACCCACAGACGAACCCACAGAAGAACCCATTGACAAAACCGACAAGAATCAGAACAATGTGGCAGAAATTGACGTGAGGAATTTTACTTGAACGACTCAGAAAAGTCAGAAGAGACTTAACAAGTTTTCTGAGTGTCTGTTTGAGGAAAACTTTGACCTTTTAAAAACATTTTCATGCTTTTCCTACTCACTATTCGTGTTTTTCTTACAGACTTTCGAGCTTCTTGAGCCTCTGTTGGCGCCAAAGTCTTTCCAAATGGACAGAGCGAAGCCGCGATGGCGACAAAGCGCCGAGTGTTAAAATAAAGCTCTGACTAAAGCCTCACACAGACTTAACCATCAATAACCACTCGATAAACATGTTTAAAGTCATACTGTGTAAAACAAAGACATTGATAAGAGCAAAGACAAAGAGCAAATATTGAACGGCCCAGTGAAGAGTGAGATGTTTCTCCTCGAGTCTGTTTGTTTTCAGCCGGTTTGGCCTCAGCTCTTTCACTGTACGACAATTATTCTAACCATCCTGATCCTGTTTTACTGTTGACTCTGGGTGTGTGCGATGTCCCGTGTGTGTCGAGTGTGTCGTGTGTGTCATGTGTGTCATGTGTGCGTCGGAGTCATGTGTTCTGGGGTGGTCAGGTTCTTGGAGGTGGAGGTACTGTTTGATCACAGAGACGATCGTCGACACCTCTGCCATGGCACCTTTACCTGCGACAGAAGAAAACAGGCTCAGAGTCACATAACGTCACACGCCAACGTCACACGCCAACGTCACACGCCAACGTCACACGCCAACGTCACACGCCAACGTCACACGCCAACGTCACACGCCAACGTCTTACGCCATAACCCTAACCTTGGGTTGGGCGATATGAAACAAAAAATATTTCTTGATATATTTTGTTATATCTCGATATCTGTACAGGAAAAATAACTAAAATAAAATAATAATAATAAAAATAACTCCCCAAAAACTTCTACAAAAACAAATCTGCCAAATTCCACCAATTCAGCTCCATCTCGTGTTTGCATTAACAGAACCACGAGCTCCTTCAGCAGAGGAACCTCAGCAGGTTCCTGTTTTGAACAGATCCATGTTCTTCACCAGCGTGAGGAGCTCTGAGGTTTAATCCCACAATCCACTGCAGCTCAAATCCAACGATTCCAAACACTTTTCAGTTCTACACTGCAGCAGATTATTCATTAAAATCTTCTGCATAAATAAACTAAACTTTACAACAAATAAACAGAACGACTCAAGATCCACATCAGCTGTTTGACATTATAATTTATTTAATTCAGCTTTGACACATTTGTTTACATCTTACAGAAACTAAACTTAAACCCACATGACTCATTTACATAAACTAATGTCTGTGATAAAAACTGTTCTTTCCTTGTGTCGCTGATGTGGTTCAGTTTCTGTTGGACTAAAGCCCCGTTCACACTAGTGTGTATGTGAGTGGTGTTGGTTGTGTGTACAGTGTTCGTTCACATTAATCTGATGGAGAACATCTCCAGAGACGGAACGATCTGATGCCTCCAGCTCCACAAGTTCATCAAAGAATATGTGTCCATTCACATAAACGTGTGTCTGTGTGCACCACCTGCACACGTATAATGTGTGAAAAGTTTCACATGAACCAACAACACGACAGAAACACAGAACAGACTGAGCATCAGCAGAACACCCTCTGACACAGAGAGAACACCCTCTCTCACAGAGAGAACACCCCTCTGACACAGAGAGAACACCCCTCTGTCACAGAGAGAACACCCCTCTGACACAGAGAGAACACCCCTCTGTCACAGAGAGAACACCCCTCTGACACACAGAGAGAACACCCCTCTGACACACAGAGAGAACACCCCTCTGACACAGAGAGAACACCCCTCTGTCACAGAGAGAACACCCCTCTGACACAGAGAGAACACCCCTCTGTCACAGAGAGAACACCCCTCTGACACAGAGAGAAACCCCTCTGACACAGAGAGAGAACACCCCTCTGACACAGAGAGAACACCCTCTGACACACAGAGAGAACACCCCTCTGACACACAGAGAGAACACCCCTCTGACACAGAGAGAACACCCCTCTGTCACAGAGAACACCCCTCTGACACACCCCTCTGTCACACAGAGAGAACACCCCTCTGACACAGAGAGAACACCCCTCTGTCACAGAGAGAACACCCCTCTGACACAGAGAGAACACCCCTCTGACACAGAGAGAACACCCCTCTGACACACAGAGAGAACACCCTCTGACACACAGAGAGAACACCCTCTGACACAGAGAGAACACCCCTCTGTCACACAGAGAGAAACCCCCTCTGACACACAGAGAGAACACCCCTCTGTCACAGAGAGAACACCCCTCTGACACACAGAGAGAACACCCCTCTGACACAGAGAGAACACCCCTCTGTCACACAGAGAGAACACCCCTCTGACACAGAGAGAAACACCCTCTGTCACAGAGAGAAACACCCCTCTGTCACAGAGAGAACACCCCTCTCACAGAGAGACCCCTCTGACACAGAGAGAACACCCTCTGACACAGAGAGAACACCCCTCTGACACAGAGAGAAACCCCTCTGTCACACAGAGAGAACACCCCTCTGACACACAGAGAGAACACCCCTCTGACACAGAGAGAACACCCCTCTGACACAGAGAGAACACCCCTCTGACACAGAGAGAACACCCCTCTGTCACACAGAGAGAACACCCCTCTGACACAGAGAGAACACCCCTCTGTCACAGAGAGAACACCCCTCTGACACACAGAGAGAACACCCCTCTGTCACAGAGAGAACACCCTCTGACACAGAGAGAACACCTCTGACACAGAGAGAACACCCCTCTGACGCAGAGAGAACACCCTCTGTCACAGAGAGAACACCCCTCTGACACAGAGAGAACACCCCTCTGACACAGAGAGAACACCCCTCTGACACAGAGAGAACACCCCTCTGACACACCCCTCTGACACAGAGAGAACACCCCTCTGACACAGAGAGAACACCCTCACAGAGAGAACACCCCTCTGACACAGAGAGAACACCCCTCTGACACAGAGAGAACACCCTCTGACACAGAGAGACACTGAGAGAACACCCTCTGACACAGAGAGAACCCCTCTGAGAGAACACCCTCTGACACAGAGAGAACACCCTCTGACACAGAGAACACCCCTCTGAGAGAACACCCTCTCACAGAGAGAAACCCTCTGACACAGAGAGAACACCCCTCTGTCACAGAGAGAACACCCCTCTGACACAGAGAGAACACCCCTCTGACACAGAGAGAACACCCTCTGTCACACAGAGAGAACACCCCTCTGACACAGAGAGACCCCTCTGACAGAGAGAACACCCCTCTGACACACAGAGAGAACACCCCTCTGACACAGAGAACACCCTCTGACACAGAGAGAAACCCCTCTGTCACAGAGAGAACACCCTCTGTGACCCTCTCACAGAGAGAACACCCCTCTGACACAGAGAAACCCCTCTGACACAGAGAGAACACCCCTCTGACACAGAGAGAACACCCCTCTGACACACAGAGAGAACACCCCTCTGACACAGAGAGAACACCCCTCTGACACAGAGAGAACACCCTCTGTCACAGAGAACACCCTCTGACACACAGAGAGAACACCCCTCTGTCACACAGAGAGAACACCCTCTGACACAGAGAGACACCCCTCTGTCACAGAGAGAACACCCTCTGTCACACAGAGAGAACACCCCTCTGTCACAGAGAGAACACCCCTCTGACACAGAGAGAACACCCCTCTGACACAGAGAGAACACCCCTCTGACACAGAGAGAACACCCCTCTGTCACAGAGAGAACACCCCTCTGACACAGAGAGAACACCCCTCTGTCACAGAGAGAACACCCTCTGTCACAGAGAGAACACCCCTCTGACACAGAGAGAACACCCCTCTGACACAGAGAGAACACCCTCTGTCACACAGAGAGAAACCCCTCTGACACAGAGAGAACACCCCTCTGACACAGAGAGAACACCCCTCTGACACAGAGAGAACACCCTCTGAGAGAACACCCCTCTGTCACAGAGAGACCCCTCTCACAGAGAGAACACCCCTCTGACACAGAGAGAACACCCTCTGACACAGAGAGAACACCCCTCTGACACAGAGAGAACACCCCTCTGTCACAGAGAGAACACCCCTCTGACACAGAGAGAACACCCCTCTGACACAGAGAGAACACCCCTCTGTCACAGAGAGAACACCCCTCTGACACAGAGAGAACACCCCTCTGTCACAGAGAGAACACCCCTCTGACACAGAGAGAACACCCCTCTGTCACAGAGAGAACACTCATATTCCACTGAGTCTCTGTGTCCTTTAGTCCAACACAAACTGAACCACATCAGACACAAGAAACAACAGTTTTTATCACACATTAGTTTATGGAAATGAATCATGTGGTTTAAGTTTCATTTCTGTAAAATAAAAACAAATATTCTCAAAGTTTTGTGGATAGGGAAAACCTGCGGACACAGAAACGACGAGTGTGGACGCAGATCGTTTCCGACACAGTGATACGGTGATTTGTTTCAGTGTAAACGTGACCTAAAGGACACGACTCGGTGGAATATGAGTGTTCTCTCTGTGACAGAGGATGTGCTGCTGATGCTGAGTCTGTAAATGGTGGAAAATGTTCTTGGTGCTAGAAGTTTCGGTTCACACTGGTCAGCTTTTGGCGTTCACTAAACATGGAGATACGACCCACACCTGCCCAAAGCCCCGACTTCACATGTGCTCCTCATTTTTACAGGTTCTGTCCAACACTGTTCTCTCTGTTCTAATGTCCTGTCCTAATCACAAACAGAGTTAAAACACTCTGTTCCACCTCGTGATGTCATCATGTGGTGATACAGGAATTGCTCCACTGTGTTTTTAACTCCACACACCTTCACTAAAATCATTTGGATCATTTCAGCCCTGCAGTTTCTTTTACCTTTAGTTCAGAAGAGACTGTTAAAGGAGCTGTTCACTTAAAAACTACCACTACGTGACATCACAAAGTGGAACAGAGCATTTGGAGCTTTGCAGATGTAAACAGACTCATAATAAAGAGTTACTCAAACGTGTGGGAATTAAACAAAACACGACTCCAGCTCTGTTTTTGAGGAAGGAACAACATTGTGACGTGGTTTAAAGTTCACGAGCGTCTGTTTTGTGTGATAAACTGTAGCCGTTTTCAGACTGAAGTGTTAAAATCTTCCTCTGTTTCGTGCTTCTACTTCATTCCTCTTTAGGCCAATACACGACACAAACGCCTTCAGACCTGCTTTCACATCCTCTTTCTGTGTGACTGTGCCTCGTCTGCTGGTTTGTGACCCCTTGTGGTCGAGTGAGAAAGTGTCTTGAACAGAAGTGTCCGACAGAATCCTGCTGACGACGAAATGAAGAGATTAAAACGCCTGTGACCGATTTAAAAACAGAAACTCGCTCGCAGGGACATTAACATCATTTACAACTCCTGCTGCTGCTGCTGCTGTTGCTGCTGCTGTAACTGTGGCTGCTCTTCCTGTATGCAAATAAATCCTGATAAACAAATGAATCCTTAAATGTGGCCAACTGTCTGGAGCTCCACAGCGCAGGGCCCGAACTCTCTGAGCAAAACATTTTCCTACAAGAATTTCCATTACAGTAAAAGTTCTACAGACCAGAGCAGGTGGTTTGACAAGACCAGGTAGAAAAGATAAAACATAAAACAAACTCCTGTGAGCTTTAATGCTAATGCTAATTTAAAGCTAATGTTCTAATGTTTCTCCTCAAAAACAGAGCTGGAGTTGTGTTTGTTTCATCCAAAACTCCAAACGCTCTGCTCCACCTTGTGATGTCATGAAGTGGCAGGACTAGAGACTGTCAGTTCCTGAAATGATCCAAATGATTCTAGTGAAGGTGTGTGGAGTTTAAAAACGCAGTGGAGCACTTCCTGCACTGCCACATGATGACGTCACGAGGTGGAGCAGAGCGTCAGACTGGATGTGATCTGCAGGGTTTGTGAGAATGAAACACAACTCCAGGTCTGTTTGTGATGAGGAAACCAAGTACAAAAATGATTTGAATAATATTTGAATTTATTTGAATTTTCAAAGGTTAACGAAAAACACAAACAAAAATATCATTATGAGATTTAAAATGGAAATGGAGCAAGTTTAGCTCTGTGTCTGAAAAGCCTGTGGGGAAACTTTCGCAGGAGCCTGTGCCCCCAGAGCGGCGCCGCGCCCGCTCTGGGGGTGGTACTGCGCCCGCCCCCGGAGCTGTGCCTGAGCACTGTGAGGTTAGAACGCAGTGTCAGTGAATCCACCACAGACTGAACTCACCTTCGTCTCCACACACCAGCTTCTTGGAGATGCAGGGGATTTCTCTGTAACCAAAGGCCCTGAGCCTGGACACGTGTTCTGCGGTGACGGGGTGCGACCACATGGCGGTGTTCATGGCGGGGCAGAAGAGCAGCGGGCGGCTGGTGTCCCAGGCTCTCACCACACACGTCTGTGCACACGAAAGGTTAAAGTTCAGTTTAAACTCACATGAATGTGTCTGTGAAGCGTCGTACCAGGAGATTGTCACAAATTCCATTGGAGATTTTAGCGAGCGTGTTGGCGTCCAAAGGAGCGATGACAAAAAGCTGTGCCCAACGCCTCAGCTCGATGTGCAGCACAGGGTCCGAGCGGCGAGTCCACATCTACAGCACCAAAGAGAGAAAACACAGGGTCAGAGGTCAGAGGGTCCAGATCTACAACAGAGATCTCACGACACCGTTTATGTGACACGTTTAACCTCTGCCCCCTGCTGTGCCACAGAACTGCCCAAAGTATGAATTTTATTTCTACCTGCCTGAATAAAAAGATGCACTATGTAATATTTCTAGTGGAGGGTTCACCTCCTGCTGGTCTCCATGGAAACGCAGCTGCTTTGTCTGAAATGTTCCATATTTAACATTAAACTGCTCCATCTCCATAGAAACAAACAGGTGATGCCACCAACCCAAGTTTATTGTCAGATCTGTGGAGCGGCGCTCACAGTAATAATGCTAAAGTTTTTCAAGGGTTTTTGGGCAATAAAAACACTCAGGAGCAGACAGGACGACAGACCCTCCACCAGAAAAGTGACACAGTGTGTCTTTAATCAGTAAATGACATTTTCAGGGACATTTGTTGTGAATCATGAGTTTGATTTTACCTCCCATTCGTCTGAGTCACTGTAGATTCTCACTGGGACATCGGCGGCGCTGTAGAAGTGTTTGGCGTGTTCTGTGGTGACGACTCTGACGTCCACCTACAGAAACAAACCCAAACGCTCCACATGAGTCACGTTATTACAGCAGCTCATTAAACACAAAGAACAGAAGGATGTGGGGTCCAAGTCCAAGAAGATCTGACCACAGATCCAGGTTTGGTGAATGAACTCATCACTTTTGGATCAGGAGCAGGTTTGTTTTGATTCAGGAAAACACTGAAATGTGCATCTTTTTAAATATAAAATTAAAGTAACAACAATTTAACATTTAACTTAGAATTTAGAACAGTGCAGACCACAGCAACGCCCAGTGGATTCACCCATAGACTTTATAAAATAATATTCAGTTTATAACAGGACCAGTCAAATATTTGGACACAGCTTCTCGTTCTGTTTTCCTTCTTCATGTTTACGACTTCTACATTTGATATAAACACAGAAAACATCAAATATATGAAACAGATATTTAGTTTTCACGTCACAGCCTCAGGGTGAAGACACAAGTGCAAAGGTCAAAGCAAAGCGTGGATATTTTTACATTTTTAAATCTATAACCCATCCATCCATCCATCTTCTTCCACTTATCCGGGGCCGGGTCGTGGGGGCAGCAGCCTAAGCAGGGACTCCCAGACTTCCTTCACTCCAGACACAAATCTATAACCAATTATGTGTTTTTTGGAGTTTGATTATTGATGTATTGTACTGATGATCGTATCGTCTGATTTAATGATCCAGGACGTATCCACGAGGATAAGAACTTTGTACAGAACAAAGACTTTTAGTTTCACAGTAAAGTATGTTTTAGTATTTACTGATCCTCAGCCCAAAGTCACTCAGAATTTTGATGCTTCAGTGAGAATCTACAGTGAAAATAATCATGGAAATAAAGATGGAACAAAGTTGAAAAGTGTCCAAACATTTACTGTAGTCTGTAGTACAACTGCACACACCAAACTGTGGTACTGCACAGATCTACAGACCTCTGCTCTACACACGGGACAGGACACAGACAGGACCTGAGGAACATCTGAGGTCACTTCAGATTTACCCCTGAAAGCTGCAGAAGTTCAGACACCAAAACAGGAAGTTTCAAAGCCGCCACGCTCCCTGTCACTCCCACGAGGACACGGAACACGCCAGGAGTCTGATCTAAACTCTGATGCTCTAAACTCTTCTGTTCTAAACTCTTCTGTTCTAAACTCTTTCGCTCTAAACTGTTTGTTGAAGCAGAGTCGCTCTCGTGAGTCTGCATGCTCTCGTGTCTCAGAGTCTCTCTGTTCACTTCCATCCAGCACTTCCGTAAACAACGAAATCAGCCAATCAGAGACTCGGCTGTTAGTGCGGGGGCGGGGCTTATAGCGTTCTACGTCACCCAAAGCTAAATAACCGTGCTGTATATTTATTTTATTTATTTTAATTTATTATTTTATCATTTATATCGGGACTCTGGTGCTGTATTTTTATTTTATTTATTTTTATTTATTATTTTATTATTTATATAAGGTCTCTGGTGCTGTATTTTTATTTTATTTATTTTTATTTATTATTTTATCATTTATATAAGGTCTCTGGTGCTGTATTTCCCAAAGAATTAAATTAATTTCATAATCCGCAGATGTAAACACACTAAGTTTTGTTTGATCTCATCTACTGATAAATTCAGTCTATGATCACATAACCCGAACAAATATATATCAACAAAAAACAACATTTGTAGGTGTGTTTGGAGGAAAAATTATTATTCTGAGGCTTCAACAGAAAGTAAAAGAAAATCTGGTTGTGTTTTGTTATAATTTTAGGTCTATTTCGTTTCGTCTTCTCAAAAAAGTCATTTTTTTTAGACCTGGCAGCTCAGGTAAACAGAAAAAACCCTGTTTAAAAGTGCGTTGTCATGGTTACAGTAGATTTTTTTTCTAAGCCCCGCCCCCCTGGACCAAACCCGTTTCCTTCCTGTCGGGCACGAGCACGTAATCCCTGACAGATGGCGAGCGCGCACGTTCAGACTGTGGAATATTCTGGTTAATACTTTTCTTCCAGCGCGTGCTTCAGAAGATAAAGACACAAAAAAACACTTTAACTGACGCATTTATTTGAAAATCTGATCACAGCGACAGAGTTTGGTGAAAAACGCGAAGTATGCCGCTCACGCCACTCGTGTTCTGGGCCCAGCGGCACGAGGAGCTTTACCTGCGCGTGGAGCTGACAGACGCACAGGTGAGGCAGCGCGAGACCACCGGAACCGAGCCCCTGCTTTTAACTTTAAAGGTGCACTGCGTAACTTTTCCCGTCACCCGCTTCTCTCCACGAAACTGTGATGATCATTCAGAACGTAACACGGGACAGAGTTAAACTTCTGTCTGATATTTACTTCATTACAGATCTTAAAAACACACATTATTACTGGAACCAGGGTCGCCTCTTCGCAGATCTGACCTGTAACTTGACCTGGTGACTCGAGGGGGACCAGACTGTGTCCCAGTTTTGAGCCTGTGTCCAAAGTCCCAACATATTTACAAAAAAACCCCACTGATAGTTTTATACAGAAATGTCCCAGTGTCTCTATTTTGGACCAATCTGATCCTGCGACAGTAAAGAGAAACATAAACTGACATTTGTTTGGGTAAAATACAGAAAATCTGCTTAAAAACGACAAAACACAAAGAAAATGTGACTAAAGTGACTCACATTAGAGCCGAGTGCACAACAGTTTTACTTAATTTTGCACTTGATTCACTATTTTATTATCACCAACCTCCACAAACAAGAGGGACGTCCCAGTGTTTTATTTTGAAAATCTCGTCACCCATTTGTTGACGTTTCCATGGAGATGCAGATTGTTACTCGTGGGCTTCAGATGACGTCACAGAGTTCTATTTATAAGCCAATATTAATGAAAACAGATGAGGGCAGCTAAAATTTAAACGGTTAAAATACAAAATGATGCTGATAGGGATGGGCTTTATTAGTCGACTAATCGATAATTGATCATTAAGGATTTTGTCGATGACGTTCATTTCTAACTGACAAACCGAATGTAGGTTTCTAGATATGAAGCTGCGTCTGACACAAACACTGGAGCTGCGGCCTCAGTCCAACGTTTTGGCTCTGGCTCCTCCTTAGAGATTATTGTACCACTCTGTTTGTTTACAGCACATCAGTGTCCCGGTTTGGTCATGGTGCATGTAAACACACAATCCTGGTTACTCCAATGATCTCTGAAAACATGAACCATCTCCAACACGACACACACACAGAACACACTCACCATCATCATCACCATCATCATCATCCCTCTGGCAAAGAGAGAACACTCATAGACTGCGTTCACACTGCACCTGAAGTGACCCAAATCTGTTTTTTGTCTCTATGTTCCTGTATCTGATCTTTTCATGACGTCTGAACCACACAGATCCGATTTTTTCAAATGTGACCCAGGACACTTGGATCTGTGCTCCTGAAACTGATCCATATCTGATCTTTAACATGTGACTTGAGTGTGAACGGTCAGGTCACATTCATCCACCTACACGTCATCAACAAGACACAAACGTCACTATTCTGCACTGAAGTAGAGAAAACTGTTCATGATCCATGTGACTGAAGTGAAGCACATCTCCACTCACCACAAAACACCACCACCAAAAACCTGCTCCTTCTCCTTCTCAATCTCCTCCTTAAAACAAGTCAGTTGTTCATGTTGTGGCTCCGGTACGAGAGGAACTTTAAAATCTCCAGGTGCTCGATGCTGCGTCCATGTTTGTTCAACTTGTGTAAACACAGAGACGCTCGCTGCGGTTGACGTCGTCGTGTCTCCAGTGTCACATGTGGGACACTTTTGGACCGTTTAATGTTCACACTGGAGTCACATACAAGTCACATTTAACTGGAAATGTGAACAACCTCGAAAAAACATCGGATTTCACACAAAAATCTGAACTGAGCGTTAAACCTGCAGACTGAACTTAGACTTATTCCACTGAGTTGTGAAGTTGAACCGCATCAGTGACACAAGGAAAGAGCTGTTTTTATCAGAGCGATTAGTTTATGTAAATGAGTCATGTGGTTTTAAGTTTAGTTTCTACTTGCGTAAATCTGCATTAAACACATTATAATGTCAAACGGGCTGATGTGGATCTTGAGTGTTTATGGTTTATATGTTGTAAAGTTGCGTTTATTTATGCAGATTAGTAATAGGAATAATAATAATGATGCTTATTATATAAAAACGTTAATGATTTATTGAAAATCAATTGTTAATTCTTCCAACGATCAATTAATAAAATTTCATCAAATGTCCGTCCCTACACGTTGGAATACAGAGAGTTTTACGGTTTAGTTCAGGGGTTAGTGATTATTTTTTCCCTGGGGCCACATGAGAAACAGAAAATATTGCGGAGGCCAAAATTCTGAACTCAATTCTGCAGAATATGAATTGATCGCACACGTTTTGATTCATGTAGTACATCATTTTTAAGTGAATAAAAAACACCTCTTAAATAAAAGTAATGCAGCTTTAGTCCAGGCATGAGGTTAAATTATAAAACATGTTTATTTTGTAGAGATGTAACATTTCCAAATCTCTCTGTACGATATTTATTACGATATTTTGGAGTGGCAATTTTTTAAACTTTAAAATACCTCGACAAGATTTTGGTGTGAAGTATTAATGTCAGAATCTCAAGAATTCAAGTAAAAAACATGTTTCTTCATGTTTGTGCTGAAATGAATCATGGGAAATGTAGTTCCTGATGTTTATAAACTGTTCCTACTAAAGAACAATGTATTTAAGCAAAGAAACTTATAATCTGACATACTGTGACGGCTCTCGATATTATTGTTAGACTTCTGACGATACGATATCACCATATTTAAGTTATTGTTTGTTACATCCATAATATTTTGTGATTCCAAATGAGCTTAAATGAGCCAGTCAGAGTCGACTAAAAGACCGAATGTGGCTCCGGAGCTGCACAAGGCCCAGGTCTGTTTTAGTCACTTACTGAAAATACCAAGTTCAACATTTATGAGTTTAACTTTTGGAGATTTAAAAATAAATCATCAAGTTCTAGAACCTGAAAAACATCAACAACAACAGCAACAACAACAGATGCAAAAGACGTTAACGCTCCAGACTGAAACTGAGAAAAATGACTTCAGAATTTCTGTTTTGTTCAGACTAAAGTAGAATAGTTCCGGCTCTAGTTTCTATAGTGTGTGAAAAATATTGAGCTCAAAATGTCCCTTTGGCCTGATTTGTCACTTCCTGTTCTGTCGAAAACTTATTTTAGGCTCATGACACAAAGAGCGAAGGCACAAACTGACACAATCATTATTATTTGCTTTTGTCCAGACTGATTCATCAGACGGTTTCACTCTGTTTCACTTGGTGGAAACTGTGTGACCTGCAGCATTAGGATTCGTTCACTCGACAGTAGACGTGGACTTTTTAAAATTTAACCAGTCGCTGCTGTTTGGTCGTGACGTTTGTAAAGCTCCAAATCCTGTAGGAAGAAGAACAATAACGTCTTTCCCCGAGATCAAATTCACCAAACATTCTCTTTGTTCAGACTTTAAATCCTCGATCTCGGGAATCGTCGCCAACACAGAATGTCTGTCTCTTCTCTGATTGGCTGGAGCCTGAACTCACACTTCCAGAGTTTTTGAGGGGGGCGGGGCCTCGTCATCCACATTGAGCGACTCTCACCTGGAAAGACTTTTTCCCACTGGACACTTGTCCCGAACGCAACGGAAAGTGTGGAATTTCTTCTACAAATCCTGGTTAAATCCACATTTGTGCTTCGGTTCGTTACAGACTGACCCACTGTTTGTGTCTCGCTCCTTCTGATGCAGAGACACATGTACACACCTGTTTGGTCACGACACACAAACATACATTCAGTTTGTCCATTAAAATTAATGTAATCCATGAAATTCTTAATGATCAATTATCGATTAATCGATTAATCATGCCCATCCCTAGTTCAAATCCTTATGTTCAGCTGTATCATACAAATAAATAGTTTAAAATCAGACATTGTGATTTCTGGATTATTTTTTTTAGATTCTGTCTCTCACAGTCGACATGCACCGACCATGAAACTTTCAGACCCTCCATCATTTCTAAGTGGGAGAAGTTGATTGTTCAAATACTTATTTTCCTCATTGTATAACTGAATACAAAGGTTTATTTATTGAATGTGTTCAGACTCTGAGCCGAGACCACAAAAAAAAAAAAAAAAAGGAGGTGAGAAGTTGGATATGAAAATAAAATATATTTATGAACTAAACCACAAACAAAACACACGAAACAGTTTGTGCCTTTGGCCTTTGCACATAAACTTATTTTAGTCTCATGACACAAAGACTGAGAACAGGAAGTGACAAATAAGGTCGAAGGGACGTGACATGCTTATTCACACCACGAAGGAGGAACTTAGTTTTGACCAAACGCGATGTTCCGGCCGTTCTGCTTTTGTAACGCAGACGAGCAGAACATCCAGCCCAAAGCAATAAAAGATCTCCATGGAAACAAACAGGTGGTGGAGCCTCGACGGTAAAGTTCCGCAGTGCAGCTTTAAGGAAACCAGAGTCGTGACGAGTTCAGTTTTTTTACACAACAACACGACACTTTTCACAAACCGACCTGGAGTCGTGTTTTATTTCATTCACACACGTTTAACGCACAAACCCTCAATGTTCCGCTCTGCTCCACCTCGTGATGTCATCATGTGGCGATACAGGAAGTGCTCCACTGTGTTTTTAAACTCCAAACACCTTCACTAGAATCATCTGGAGCATTTTTTTCAGCTCTGGAATTTCTTTCTTTGTCGATCTCAGCTGAACTAAAGGTAAAGCCGTTCACTTGGAAACTAGCACTTCATGACATCACGAGGTGGAGCAGAGCGTTTGGAGGTGTGGAGATGAAGACAGACTCAAAATAAAGAGTGAAAATAAACGTGTGAATGAAATAAACACGACTCCAGTTCTGTTAGAACATGTTTTCATCTTAGAAGAGTGAGTGTTGTTTTGTGATTCTGAACCTGGTTTTAGACATGGTTTTAGTCCTGGTTTAGTCCTGGTTTAGTCCTGGTCTAGTCCTGCTTTTAGTCTTGGTTTAGTTTGGTTTTAGTCCTGGTTTTAGTCCTGGTTTAGTTTCTGGTTTAGTTTTTCTGGTTTAGTCCTGGTTTAGTTCTGGTTTAGTCCTGGTTTTAGTCCTGGTTTAGTCCTGGTTTCCTGGTTTTTCCTGGTTTTAGTCCTGGTTTAGTCCTGGTTTAGTTCTGGTTTAGTTCTGGTTTAGTTCTGGTTTAGTCTGGTTTAGTCCTGGTTTAGTTCTGGTTTAGTCTGGTTTTAGTCCTGGTTTAGTTCTGGTTTTAGTTCTGGTTTTAGTCCTGGTTTAGTTCTGGTTTAGTTCTGGTTTTAGTTCTGGTTTAGTCCTGGTTTTAGTCCTGGTCTAGTCCTGCTTTTAGTCTTGGTTTAGTTCTGGTTTAGTCCTGGTTTAGTTCTGGTTTTAGTCCTGGTTTAGTTCTGGTTTAGTCCTGGTTTTAGTCCTGGTTTTAGTCCTGGTTTAGTTTTGTTTTTTTGTCCTGGTTTAGTCCTGGTTTTAGTCCTGGTTTAGTTCTGGTTTAGTCCTGGTTTAGTCCTGGTTTAGTCCTGGTTTTTGTTCCTGGTTTTAGTTTTCTGGTTTAGTCCTGGTTTAGTCCTGGTTTAGTTCTGGTTTAGTTCTGGTTTTAGTCCTGGTTTTAGTTCTGGTTTAGTCCTGGTTTTAGTCCTGGTTTAGTTCTGGTTTAGTCCTGGTTTTAGTCCTGGTTTTAGTTCTGGTTTAGTTCTGGTTTTAGTCTGGTTTAGTTCTGGTTTAGTTCTGGTTTTTTTTTTTTTCTGGTTTTAGTCCTGGTTTAGTTCTGGTTTAGTTTTCTGGTTTTAGTCTGGTTTAGTTCTGGTTTAGTCTTTAGTTCCTGGTTTAGTCCTGGTTTTAGTCCTGGTTTTAGTCCTGGTTTAGTTCTGGCTTTAGACCTGGTTTAGTTCTGGTTTAGTTCTGGTTTAGTTCTGGTTTTAGTCCTGGTTTAGTTCTGGTTTAGTTCTGGTTTTAGTCCTGGTTTAGTTCTGGTTTAGACCTGGTTTAGTCCTGGTTTTAGTCCTGGTTTAGTTCTGGTTTAGTTCTGGTTTAGACCTGGTTTTAGTCCTGGTTTAGTCCTGGTTTAGTTCTGGTTTAGTTCTGGTTTAGTCCTGGTTTTAGTCCTGGTTTAGTCCCTGGGTTTTTAGTTTCTGGTTTAGTCCTGGTTTAGACCTGGTTTAGTCCTGGTTTAGTCCTGGTTTAGTCCTGGTTTTTTTTTAGTTCCTGGTTTAGTCCTGGTTTAGACCTGGTTTAGTCCTGGTTTAGACCTGGTTTAGTCCTGGTTTAGTCCTGGTTTAGTTTAGTCCTGGTTTACTGGTTTAGTCCTGGTTTAGTCCTGGTTTAGATCTGGTTTTAGTCCTGGTTTAGTCCTGGTTTAGACCTGGTTTAGTCCTGGTTTAGTCCTAGGGTTTAGTCCTGGTTTAGTTCCTGGTTTAGTCCTGGTTTAGTCCCTGGTTTAGTCCTGGTTTAGTCCTGGTTTCCTGGTTTAGTTTAGTCCTGGTTTAGTCCTGGTTTAGTCCTGGTTTAGTCCTGGTTTACCTGGTTTAGTCCTGGTTTAGTCCTGGTTTAGTCCTGGTTTAGACCTGGTTTAGTCCTGGTTTAGACCTGGTTTAGTCCTGGTTTAGTCCTGGTTTAGTCCTGGTTTAGACCTGGTTTAGTCCTGGTTTAGTCCTGCTTTTAGTTGTGTTTGAACATGTTTTAATCGTTAGAAAAGTGAGGGTTTTTTTTGTGTTTCTGGAGCTTAAATCTGAACTTTTCTCATTGTTTCGTTGCAGAACATTGACGTTGAGGTGAAGGAGAAGGTTCTGGAGTTTCGTGGTGAGTGTGTTTATGTGAACATTATTGTGACATCGTGTTCTTCCTGATAACGGCGTCTGTGTGTGAAGCTCAGGGACACGGTGCCAAGGGTCACGACGAGTACAGCTTCAGTCTGGAGCTGCTTCAGGCCGTCGGCTCAGAGGTGAGAGCTTCTCACGCTTCAGTCCATTCAGACAAACACAGAAACAAACCCAACGGGAGTTTTGTAGATAAAGAAACGTTGTGATAAAAACGTCTGAGCAGCAGAAGAGGAAGAGACGAACTGAACTGAAAACCAGAACTACTTTACCCAGACAAAAGTCAGATCGTACGTGTAATAATATGATTTAAAGTTCATAAGTGCTTTTATTATTCTTTTATTTCTACTTAAGGACCTGGTCCAGCAGAAATAAACAACAAGACCAAAAGTTCAAGTGAATTCATCTGATATAAAAGTGTATTGAACAGATACATATGTACTCGAGTTTATCAAACTGTTGACCTTTTTTCTGTTCCATTTTTGGTTCTAAAGTTCCATCCGTTTTAAACAAACCATGAATGAAACATGGAACAAAAATTATTTCCCAAATTTCAAAGACCCAAAAATCATGTAAATAAATGTTTGTATTTCATCATATCTTGTGTTATTCCATCTTTGAACTGTTGATGAAGGGACAGGATTTTTCAAAAAAAAAAAAGTATTTAAAATGATAAAAATGTTCTTGGAAGGACTGATATATTTTATAGAAATAGTTTCTTTCATTTTAAAGTAATATTAAAGTTTTCAGAAGAAAAAAGTGACAAATGATGTAAAATCCTGCACCTTCTACTTGTTTGTACAATTTTCCCTCCGTTACTTTTCCCTCCGTTACCATGAACTTTCTTAATAAAAAATCTCATGAGTCAAAAAGTCAGAGGTTTTTCAACCTAATCTTGTACCATATGGTAGAAAACTATATGAAGCAAATATTCAAACCAGTTTGTTAAGGATATGGAAGTGAGAACCAAGAGTTATCACTGTTTGGATTTATTGACCAAAAAGTGCTGCATATTTCATTCCCTCTGTTACTGACATGAGATTTTTAAATATTTTGTGAACAACTTGAAAGAATCTCACAGGTTGAACTTGACCCTGTTGGAGTGTAACTCTTTCCTACATTCTGATACTTTACTTATTTCAATAGTTCCTCTAGTTTCTGAATAAGAGACATTTGAATGTCAAAAATCTGACCCTGTTTCCTCCGTTAACACTTGACTGAACCCTTACGTTGTCGGGTAAAACCTTTTGTAAACAGAAATTATAGTTTTTACACAAATCAAGAAAATAAACGACAAGAAAAGCTGAAAAATATGTTAAAAATGAAAAGAAATAGAGAGTTCTGTTTTAGAAAGTTCTGTTGATACTTTGCAGTGACACTGGGGGTGTTCTACATGTGTCTCTATGGCAGAATGTTCAGCAGTTACCACAGTGACACAGATAAAAAAGTGTTTAGATCAGGTGTGTCAAACTCATTTTGTTCCGGGGGTCGGATCAGAAAACTCATGTCATATAAACCCCAAAAATAACAATAAGTTCAAATATTTGTGCAGAGAAACACAAATCTATTACACAAATCTTTTTGAATTGATGAACTCTTTCTTTTACAAAATATTATAATATTATGAACAACCTGAAACTTTAAGAAAAATACAATTTCAACACAAAGTTTGAACATGAACTTGTCTGTAAATAGAATAAGTCCATTTTTGTTGTAAAATCCTGCACTCGGCTCCACTTTTCTCATGTTGGACATTTTTCTGATGAGGGTGTCACGGTCAACAGTCAAAACGATCGTCCTTTAAGAGCGTTTGGAAAGAGACAAGTCTTCATTTGTGCTGCTCTGGTGGGAGGGGCCACGTACAGAGACGCTGGAGACGCTGCTGTGATAAACACCACAGAAAATTAACAACATTTTAGTAGAAAATATAATTCAGATGTTTTAGTAGAAAATCAGCCGAGGGCCAGATTAAAGGTCTTGGAGGGCCGGATCTGGCCCCCGGGCCGTATGTTTGACACCTGTGGTTTAGCTGTTTTCATGTTCCTGTTTGGAGCAGTTCACCTGTTGAAGTTCTAACCAGGTCAGATGTTTATGGTCTGATTGTTCAGATAAAACTCAGATTAAAGTCTAAGTTGAGTAACGGAGCTTCAGACAGAGCAGAGCTGTCGGGTTCCTGCAGTGGACGGGTGGGGGCAGGTGCAAGGGCAGGTGCAGGGGCAGGGCAGGTGCAGGGGCAGGTGCAGGGGCAGGTGGGGCAGGGCAGGTGCAGGGGCAGGGCAGGTGCAGGGCAGGGGCAGGGCAGGGCAGGTGCAGGTGCAGGGCAGGGCAGGGCAGGTGCAGGGCAGGGGCAGGGGCAGGTGCAGGGCAGGTGCAGGTGCAGGGACAGGTGCAGGTGCAGGGACAGGGACAGGGGCAGGGGCAGGGACAGGTGCAGGGGCAGGTGCAGGGGCAGGGGCAGGTGCAGGGGCAGGTGCGTCCACAGTGACAGGAGCTCAGTTGTTCTTCTGTGTTCAGGTGAAGGTGAGGTCGACTCAGCGGCAGGTGAACGTGACGGTGCAGAAGCTGCGTCCGTCCTGGTGGGGGCGCCTCACCGCTCACCAGCGCAAACCCGTGTTCCTCGCTCCAGACTTCGACCGCTGGATCGACGAGTCCGACGCCGAGATGGAAATCCAAGAGAAAGTAAGAACATGTTCTTCTTCTACTGCCGTTTAAACGTGTTTCATGTTGAGTTTTTCAGGCGGAAACTAAAACTCTGAGGCTCAGACTCTAAAACTCTCAAACCCTCCACAGCTGGATCCCTTTATTTAATACAATATTTAGGGGTTTAAATGTCACTTTTTAGCTTTGCTGAACTTAAACACTGTGATTCTACATCAAATATATTTACTTTTGTACAAATGGACGTACTTCTATATTCAATTCAGTTTAAGTTTACTTCTACAGCACATTTAAAACAACTTCAGCTGAACAAAGTGCTTCACATAAAAGTCAAGAAACACAGAAGAAACAGAAACATATACATAAATACAGAAAACATGTGAAAACTACAATAAAATATGATTATATGTACTTCTGTATGATTATATGTACTTCTGTATTAACATCTGTACTTCTGTATTAACATCTGTACTTCTGTATTAACATCTGTACTTCTTTATATGAATATACTGTATTTTCCGCACTATTAGTCGCTCTGGATTATAAGGGGAACTTTTTTCCCAAATAAACGGTGTGGGACTTTAAATGAAACAGAACAGTGTGATGTGTGAGTGGTTTTGTTTGTTTGTTCACGGTGACTCTGGGTGTGTTCAGTTGTGGTGTGTAGGGAGTAGTGTCTGTCGCTGGATTGTCGCCGTGTTCGCAGTGACTCAGTTGTTCAGTCGAGTCTTGAAGCAGGACGTTGCACTCGTGGCTTTTTTCAGTTTGTTCCTGGGTTCCGTTCCTCGTCGGTGTGGAGTGATGAGTGTGTGTGTGCGGTCGCTGTCTGCTCCGTGTGTGTTTGTGTGTTTGTGTGTTTGTAGTTTACTGAAGTCGTGCTGGGACCTGAGTGGGTTCGGGTATGGGGAGCTCTGGATTGTGGCGCGCGGTCGTTTTTTGATGGAGACTTAAGTACAGAAAGAGTAAAAGGATCAGATAAAAAAAAAAAAATGCTGGCGCTACGAGAATAAACATTTAATATTTCCACATTAAAGTCGTAATATTATGAGAATAAAGTCGAAGCCAGAAAAAGTCATAATTTTACGAGAATAAAGTCGTAAATTTATGAGAACAAAGTCGTAATTTCATGAGAATAAAGTCATAGTCAAAATAAAGTGGTAATATTAAGAGAATCTCAGCTGCTCAGAAAGTCTGAACGAGTGGAGAATTTGGAGCATTTGTAAAGGAGAAGAATCCGTGTATCATTTGTTCATTCGACTGAAAAAGTAGCCTACAGAATCAGGACTAAATCAGGTCCGGAACCAAACCAGAAAGACCAGGATTGAGACCGGGACCAGACCAGGACCGAGGCCGGGAACAGACGAGGACTGAAAATGGTTTAGTCCTGATTTAGTCCTGGTTTAAGTCACGGAAATGGGAAACAGCATTTCCATGACTTTAAAATGTGATGTGGGAATATTGCGCCGCATACAGACTGAACCAGGACTAAACCAGGACTAAACCAGGACTAAACCAGGACTAAACCAGGACTAAACCAGGACTGAACCAGGACTAAACCAGGACTAAACCAGGACTAAACCATTTTCAGTCCTGGTCCTGCTCCCAGTCTCAATCCTGGTCTCAGTCCCGATCTGGTCCCGCACCTCGTTTAGTTCTGGTTCAGTCCTGGTTTAGTCCAGGTTTAGTCCTGGTTTAGTCCTGGTTCAGTCCTGGTTCAGTCCTGGTTCAGTCCTGGTTTAGTCCTTAGTCCTGGTTTAGTCCTGGTTCAGTCCTGGTTCAGTCCTGGTTTCAGTCCTGGTTCAGTCCTGGTTTAGTCCTGGTTCAGTCCTGGTTCAGTCCTGGTTCAGTCCTGGTTTAGTCCTGGTCCTGGTTTAGTCCTGGTTTCAGTCCTGGTTTAGTCCTGGTTCAGTCCTGGTTCAAGTCCTGGTTCAGTCCTGGTTCAGTCCTGGTTTAGTCCTGGTTCAGTCCTGGTTCAGTCAGTCCTGGTTCAGTCCTGGTTCAGTCCTGGTTAGTCAGTCCTGGTTTAGTCCTGGTTCAGTCCTGGTTTAGTCCTGGTTTAGTCCTGGTTTAGTCCTGGTTTAGTCCTGGTTTAGTCCTGGTTCAGTCCGGAGGAGCAAATAATGAAGAAAATTGTTCGTTTTCTTATTTTTGGTTTTTATATTGAAAAACAAGTTTCTTCTTCTGCCGCATTTTTCACTTTGACTTTGATTTTATTTTATTCTCATAATATAACTTTGAAATGACTTTATTCTCGTAGCGCCAGCATCTTTTTTTATTTTTTAATCTGACTCTTATACTCCGTCGTACTTAACTATAGTGCAGGAAATACAGTTTTCACTTCTTTATGTTCACAAAAACACCACGAACAGAAAGAATCATTTATTTGACCTGATATTGTGCTTCCCGTTTGTGTTTAGACTGTGAGGGTCCAGCCTGGTTTCTGTTCATGGGAAACACTGATTATGATGTTTTTCTTGTTGTTGTTTCCTTGGAGAAGTTATGGCTTTGCCTGGAAAACTCCACAGTAGAGCATTAACCTTGTGTCTGCCTGGAGACAAACTGGTCCCACGAGAGTTACGTTAACGCTCAGATCTTTGAGGAGGAGACTGGTCCTGTCACAATAATCAGCAGATCCTCTGAGTTCAGCGTCTGAGAAATGGAGCCGTGAGTTTTGGGCTCAGTTTCATCGTGGGCAGTTTTTTTTTCTGTAAAAGTGAAACATCTGAGGTGTTTTTGTGGTGATCAGGTCAGATCTGTGAATAAGTGAATAAGTGAATAAGTGAGTTCTGTGGTTGATCATTGGTTCATTCTGATGTTTATTTGTTGCAGCTCCGACTTTTTAAAAATCTGTTCTGTTTAAAACGGTTTCACTGGATTCTTCGTTTTTTTTCTTTTTATTTCAGGAGTTTCAGTGTTTTCATTTATCAGTTTGTCTCTGTTGCTTCATGAAGTTTGTGTGAAGAGGAATATTTTGGGGGATAAAGATCACACCTGTAGTTGAAATGACACACAGGGTTTAATGCTGCACTCTGGAACATTCCAAGCAGAGTCTTCGTGTTCCTTCGTGCAAAAATCATTAAACTGTTTTTTTTTTCTTCTTCAGGAGCGGAGAAAAACCAAACCGCCTCGACAGCAGAGTCACTGTGAGTACTGCAGTCTCATCAAACTCTTACGCTTTAGTTTTACTTTAAAAAAAATATAGATTTCTACTTTAAATATTTGTTTAATATTGTTTTGTTTTTTTTATCTTTCAGTTCTTTCAAACTTTAAAACCGGGTTCCTTTTGGTTTATAATCTTGTTCAGTTTCTCGGTTTCTCGTGGATCTTCGTGAACATGACGCTGCGTGTGGTTTTAATCGGACAAGGTAACAACTTTAAAGCTGCACTGCGGAACTTTTCTAGCGGAGGGTCCGGTACCTGCTTGTCTCCATGGAGATGCTGTTGCTCTTCCTGGAAAGTTCCATGTTGTGACATTAAACACATACGGCCGGCGTTTATGTATTAAAGGTTTTTCTGTTGCTCAAAAACACATCAGTCGTTCTGTGGACGGGGGGGACGCCTCTCCACAGATCTGACCTGTAATCAGTGTTGGGAAGTTTACTTTTAAAATGTAATCCCCTACAGATTACAGATTACACATCTCAAAATGTGGTTTGTAACGGAATCCATGAAATTACTTAAAGTGAGTAATGTAATCTGATTACTCTGGATTACTGGATTTACTGTAGAGAAACAAAGACTAAGAAATTAAGAAAAAACTAAGAAGTTTTATCTGATAAAAGAAAATAAAAAAGCCCAAACATCACTTAACCAAATAAAAAATATTATTGATAGAAAATGAGGAGACACGTCCACACAGCAGCTTTAGTCCTGTTCAATCCTGTTTTAGACCTGGTTTAGTCCTGGTTTAGTCCTGGTTTAGTCCTGGTTTAGTCCTGGTTTAGTCCTGGTTTAGTCCTGGTTTACCTGGTTTAGTCCTGGTTTAGTCCTGGTTTAGTCCTGGTTTAGTCCTGGTTTATTGTTCGGCAATGAGTGGAAATAAAGGAAGAAAACAAAAAAAAAAAGGGGTATTAGCCCAAAATGTGAAAACAGTAAAATCCCTCTGTTTAATCCATTTATTTCAACCAAGTAACTGTAATCCAATTCCCACTCACTGAAACAGTAACTGTAACTGAATCCAGTTACTCATCATTTGTACTCTGATTATGTAACTTGAGTACATGTAATCTGTAGAGCTGTAACCTGCTCGTCTCCCTGGTGACAGACGCTTTCATCTCTACTGTGGAATATTCTAAACCAAGCAGATAACATCTCCATGGAGACGAGCAGGTGCTGAACCCTCCACTGTTTGTTGTGTTCAACTGTGTCTTGTGCAGATTTCCTGTACGACACGTTTCACTCCACCTCAGACGTGATGTTCTTCTGTCAGACTCTGGCGTCGCTGGAGGTTCTGAACGCAGCGTTTGGTTTGGTCAAAACAGGAGTCGCCCCGACCCTCATCCAGGTGAACCACAGACAGAACCACAGACAGAACCACAGACAGAACCACAGACAGAACCACAGACAGAACCACAGACAGAACAACAGACAGAACCACAGACAGAACCACAGACAGAACCACAGACAGAACCACAGACAGAACCACAGACAGAACCACAGACAGAACACACACAGACAGACAGAACCACAGACAGAGAACCACAGACAGACAGAACCACAGACAGAACACAGACAGAACCACAGAACACAGACAGAACCACACAGACAGAACCACAGACAGAACCACACAGACAGACAGAACCACAGACAGAACCACAGACAGAACAGACACAGACAGAACCACAGACAGACACACACAACAGAACACAGACAGAACAGACACACGGACAGAACCACAGACAGAACCACAGACAGAACCACGGACAGAACCACAGCACAGACAGAACCACGGACACAGACAGAACACAGACAGAACCACACGGACAGAACCACAGAACCACAGACAGAACCACAGACAGAACCACAGACAGAACCACAGACAGACAGAACCACAGACAGAACCACAGACAGAACCACAGAACCACAGACAGAACCACACAGACAGAACCACAGACAGAACCACAGACAGAACCACAGACAGAACAGACAGAACCACAGACAGAACCACAGACAGAACCACAGACAGAACCACAGACAGAACCACAGACAGAACCACAGACAGAACACACAGAACCACAGACAGAACCACAGACAGAACCACACAGAACCACAGACAGAACCACAGAACCACAGACAGAACCACGGACAGAACCACAGACAGAACCACAGACAGAACCACGGACAGAACCACGGACAGAACCACACAGAACCACAGACAGACAAACCACAGACAGAACACAGACAGAACCACAGAACGGACAGAACCACACAGACAGAACCACAGGACAGAACCACAGACAGAACCACAGACAAACACACAGACAGAACAGACAGAACCACGACAGACAGAAACACACAGACAGAACCACAGACAGAACCACAGACAGAACCAGACAGAACCACAGACAGAACACAGAACCACAGACAGAACCACAGACAGAGACAGAACACAGACAGAACCACAGACAGAACCACAGACAGAACCACAGACAGACAGACAGAACACGGACAGAACACAGACAGAACAGACAGAACCAGACAGAACAGACAGAACCACGACAGACAGAACACACAGAACACAGAACCACGGACAGAACCACAGACACAGACAGAACCACAGACAGAACCACAGACAGAACCACAGACAGAACCACGGACAGAACCACAGACAGAACCACAGACAGAACCACAGACAGAACCACAGACAGAACCACAGACAGAACCACAGACAGAACCACAGACAGAACCACAGACAGAACCACACAGACACAACCACGGACAGAACCACAGACAGAACACAGAACCACACAGAACCACACAGACAGAACCACGGACAGAACCACGGACAGAACCACGACAGACCACAGAACACAGGACAGAACACAGACAGACCAACACAGAACACAGACAGAACCACGGACAGAACCACACAGACAGAACCACAGACAGAACCACAGACAGAACCACAGACAGAACCACAGAACCACAGACAGAACTGCCGAGTCCCAAGATCTACAACGAATCGTTTTAAAAGGAGCTTCGTTCGCGCTGCTGTCAGATTTATGAATAAACTGTGTCTGTTTATCTCAGTTTTTGTTCGGTTGTTTTGAAATAATCGTGTTTTTATATATTTAATATTTATTCAGATTTTTTGCCAAGTCTGATACATGAATTTAACTAATTGTTTATGGAACAAACTGTTCTGCTCTGGACATTTTATTCCGACAGAACAGGACCTAAACCAGGTCTAAACCAGACTAAACCAGGACTAAACCAGACAAACCAGTGAACCAGGACTAAACAGGTAAACCAGGACTGAACCAGGCTAAACAGGACTAAACCAGGACTAAACCAGGACTAAACCAGACTAAACCAGGGACTAAACCAGGACTAAACCAGGTCTAAACCAGGTCTAAACCAGGACTAAACCAGGACTAAACCAGGACTAAACCAGGACTAAACCAGGACTAAACCAGGTCTAAACCAGGACTAAACCAGGACTAAACCAGGACTAAACCAGACTAAACCAGGACTAAACCAGGACTAAACCAGGTCTAAAACCAGGACTAAACCAGGACTAAACCACTAAACCAGGACTAAACCAGGTCTAAACCAGTCTAAACCAGGTCTAAACCAGACTAAACCAGTCTAAACCAGGTCTAAACCAGGACTAAACCAGGTCTAAACCAGACTAAACCAGGACTAAACCAGGACTAAACCAGGACTAAACCAGGACTAAACCAGGACTAAACCAGGTCTAAACCAGGTCTAAACCAGGACTAAACCAGGGACTAAACCAGGACTAAACCAGGACTAAACCAGGACTAAAACCAGGTCTAAACCAGGACTAAACCAGGACTCTAAAACCAGGACTAAACCAGGACTAAACCAGATCTAAACCAGGACTAAACAAGGACTAAACCAGGTCTAAACCAGGACTAAACCAGGACTAAACCAGGACTGAACCAGGACTAAACCAGGACTGAAACCAGGACTGAACCAGGACTAAACCAGGACTGAACCAGGACTAAACCAGGACTAAACCAGGACTGAACCAGGACTGAACCAGGACTGAACCAGGACTGAGTGTTGGGCCCGTGTAGACCGTCAGGTGACCGCAGGTGAAAGGATGAGTGCAGAGCTTCATGCTCCACGTCGCCCGATCGCGCTTTTCGGACACCCTGCTCCACGGGCTCGGGGTTCTCTCAAGTCCAAGATTAGTCCTGGTCCAGTCCTGGTTCAGGTCTCTGGAGGACAGGCCTGTAGATCATGAGCCTGTGCCGTTTGTTTTCGTTGCCGATCGCTCCAGTTTGACATTTAAGTTGTGGGCGGATTCATCAAATCGATGACGTCGTGAATCGCATAGACACGACTGGACACGTGGAATCCAGCTCCAGATTCACTCCTGTAACCCGCTGGCCTCATGAGCTTCATTTGACTGGAGCTTTACACGGTCCCTCGCTCTCTGTCTCGCTCTTTCTGTGACGTGTTTGTGTTTTTTTCCCGCAGGTCGTCGGGAGAAACTTCATCCTCTTCGTCGTCTTGGGGAGTTTGGAGGAAATGCAGAACAAACCCGTCGTGTTCTTCGTCTTCTTCCTGTGGAGCGCCATCGAGATCTTCAGGTGAGGAGCTGCTGAGGGGGGGTTTCTACACGCACGTCTGTGGTAGAATGATCTGCAGTTGCCGTGGAGACAAGAAAAAAGGTTTAAGATGGGAAAAAAAGAGCGAGAGCTTCATTTACACGTTAGACGTGAATCTCTTCTGTCGCGGTTTTCAAATCTCTTCTCGTTCAACTTTAGTTTTTGACAGTTTGAGACGTTGACATTTTATTAGATTCAGTTTTTAGTCTTGTTTTATTTTTAGTAGCTGATGCTTTTAGTCGTTTGTTGTTTTGTTTTTATTAGATTGTTTTTTGTCATGTTGTTTGATTGTTTTTATGAGATTATGTTTTTAATTATGTTGTTTTATTTTTATTCGATTTAGTTTTTGGTCAGATGTTATTTTGTTTTTATTAGATTATGTTTTATTGTGTTTATTAGGTTCTATTTTTAGTAATGTTTTATTGTTTTATTATTTTTTATTAGATTGTTTTTGTCATATGTTTAATTTAATTCTGTTGTTGCAGTTTTAACCCTCACTCTGTCCTCGGGGTCACATTGACCCAAAGACACTTTTTTCCTTCCCGCTCTCTCGGGGCGGCTCAGTCAGACCCAAAAATTAATTTTCAAATAAATTTTCTCGCCAGGCAAGAAAATACATTTTTGGGTCTGATTGACCCGCCCCAAGAGAGCGGGAAGGAAAAAAGTGTCTTCAGGTCAGTGTGACCCCGAGGAGAGAGTGAGGGTTAAAAACAACACAGACTGACTGAAGTGAGTTTATAAAGTTGCAGTTGGTGGAGAAAAAACAGAAAACATATTTTTATAATTTCCCTGCACTTCTCTTTTTTAAACGAGTCCGGGTCCTGGTCCTGGTCCTGGTCCTGGTCCTGGTCTTGGTCCTGGTCTTGGTCCTGGTCCGGTTTAACTGCACAGATCTTCTGACCTGTTCTAGTTCAGCTCAAGTCCTTTAAAACTGAGTGAGACTCAAGTCCAGGAGAAAGTGTTTGTTTCTGATTGTGTGTGTGTTGATTGTGCGTTTGTTGATTGTGTGTGTTTTGTGTGTTTGATTGTGTGTTGTTGATTGTGTGTGTTGATTGATGTGTGTGTGTGTGTGTGTGTGTGTGTTGATTGTGTGTGTGTTGATTGTGCGTGTGTGTGTTGATTGTGTGTGTGTGTTGTGTTGATTGTGCGTGTGTGTGTGATGTGTGTGTGTGTGTGTGTGTGTGTTGATTGTGCGTGTGTGTGTTTGTGTGTGTTGATGTGTGTTGTGTGTGTGTTGATGTGTGTTGATTGTGTGTGTGTTGATTGTGTGTGTGTGTGTTGATTGTGCGTGTGTGTGTTGATTGTGTGTGTGTTGATGTGTGTTTGTGTGCGTGTGTGTGTTGATTGTGTGTGTGTTTGATGTGTTGTGTGTGTTGATTGTGTGTGTTGTGTGTGTTGATTGTGTGTGTGTGTGTGTGTGTGTTGATTGTGCGTGTGTGTGTTGATTGTGCGTGTGTGTGTGTGTGTGTGTGTGTTGTGTGTGTGTTGATTGTGCGTGTGTGTGTTGATGCGTGTGTGTGTTGATTGTGCGTGTGTGTGTTGATTGTGCGTGTGTGTGTTGATGTGTGTGTGTGTGTGTGTGTTGATGTGTGTGTGTGTGTGATGTGTGTTGTTGTGTGTGTTGATTGTGCGTGTGTGTGTTGATTGTGTGTGTGTTGATTGTGCGTGTGTGTGTTGATTGTGTGTTGTGTGTGTGTGTTGATTGTGCGTGTGTGTGTTGATTGTGCGTGTGTGTGTTGAGTGTGTGTGTGTGTGTTGTGTGTGTGTTGATGTGTGTGTGTGTGATGTGTGTGTGTTGATTGTGCGATTGTGTGTGTGTTGATTGTGCTTGTGTGTGTGTTGATGTGTGTGTGTTGATGTGTGCTTTGATTGTGCGTGTGTGTGTTGATTGTGTGTGTGTTGATTGTGTGTGTGTTGATTGATTGTGTGTGTGTTGATTGTGCGTGTGTGTGTTGATTGTGTGTTGATTGTGTGTGTGTTGATTGTGCGTGTGTGTGTTGAGTGTGTGTTGATTGTGTGTGTGTGTTGATTGTGTGTGTGTTGATTGTGCGTGTGTTGATTGATTGTGTGTGTGTTGATTGTGCGTGTGTGTGTGTGTGTGTGTTGATTGTGTGTGTGTTGATTGTGCGTGTGTGTGATTGTGTTGTGTGTGTGTGTGTGTGTGATGTGTGTGTTGATTGTGTGTGTGTGTTGATTGTGCGTGTGTGTGTTGATGTGTGTTGATTGTGTGTGTGTGTGTGTGTGTGTGTTGATTGTGCGTGTGTGTGTTGATTGTGTGTGTGTGTGTGTGTGATTGTGTGTGTGATTGTGTGTGTGTGTTGATTGTGTGTGTGTGTGTTGATTGTGTGTGTGTTGATTTGTGTGTGTGTTGATTGTGTGTGTTGATTGTGCGTGTGTGTGTTGATTGTGTGTGTGTTGATTGTGTGTGTGTTGATTGTGTGTGTTGATGTGTGTGTGTGTGTGTGTGTTGATTGTGTGTGTGTGTGTGTGTTGATGTTGTGTGTGTTGATTGTGCGTGTGTGTGTGTTGATGTGTGTGTGTGTTGATTGTGCGTTGTGTGTGTTGATTGTGCGTGTGTGTGTTGATTGTGTGTGTTGATTGTGTGTGTGTTGATTGTGTGTGTGTGTTGATTGTGTGTGTGTGTGTTGATTGTGCGTGTGTGTGTTGATTGTGCGTGTGTGTGTTGATTGTGCGTGTGTGTGTTGATTGTGTGTGTGTTGATTGTGCGTGTGTTGTGTGTGTGTTGATTGTGCGTGTGTGTGTTGATTGTGCGTTGTGTGTGTGTGTTGATTGTGTGTGTGTGTGTTGATTGTGCGTGTGTGTGTTGATTGTGCGTGTGTGTGTGTGTGTGTGTGTGTGTGATGTGTGTGTGTGTTGTGTGTGTGTTGATTGTGTGTGTGTGTGTGTGTGTTGTGTGTGTGTGTGTGTGTGTGTGTTGATGTGTGTGTGTGTTGATGTGTGTGTGTGTTGATTGTGTGTGTGTGATGTGTGTGTGATGTGTGTGTGTGTGTGTGTTGATTGTGCGTGTGTGTGTTGATGTGTGTGTGTGTGTGTGTGTGTTGATGTGTGTGTGTGTGTTGATTGTGTGTGTGTTGATTGTGCGTGTGTGTTGATTGTGTGTGTGTTGATTGTGTGTGTTGATTGTGCGTGTGTGTGTTGATTGTGCGTGTGTGTGTTGATTGTGCGTGTGTGTGTTGATTGTGTGTGTTGATTGTGTGTGTGTGTGTTGATTGTGCGTGTGTGTGTTGATTGTGTGTGTGTGTGTTTGTTGTGTGTGTGTGTGTGTTTGATTGTGCGTGTGTGTGTTGATTGTGTGTGTGTGTTGATGTGTTGTGTGTGTGTGTGTGTTGTGCGTGTGTGTGTTGATTGTGCGTGTGTGTGTTGTGTGTGTGTGTTGTTGTGTGTGTGTTGTGTGTTGTGTGTGTGTTGTTGTGTGTGTTGTGTGATGTGTGTGTGTGTGTGTGTGTGTGTGTTGATGTTGTGTGTTGTTGATGTGTGTGTGTGTGTGTTTGATTGTGTGTGTGTGTGTGTGTGTTGTGTGTGTGTTGTGTGTGTGTTGATTGTGTGTGTGTGTGTTGATTGTGCGTGTGTGTGTTGATTGTGTGTGTTGATTTGTGTGTGTGTGTGTGTGTGTGTGTTGATGTGTGTGTGTGTGTGTTGATTGTGCGTGTGTGTGTGTGTTGTGTGTGTTGATTTGTGTGTGTGTGTGTGATTGTGCGTGTGTGTGTGTGTGTTGATGTGTGTGTGTTGTGTGTGTGTGTGTGTGTGATGTGTGTGTGTGTGTGTTGATGTGTGTTGTGTGTGTGTGTGTGTGTGATTGTGTGTTGTGTGTGTTGATTGTGCGTGTTGTGTGTGTGTGTGTGTGTGTTGATTGTGTGTGTTGATGTGTGTGTGTGTTGATTGTGCGTGTGTGTGTTGATTGTGCGTGTGTGTGTTGATTGTGTGTGTTGATTGTGTGTGTGTTGATTGTGCGTGTGTGTGTTGATGTGTGTGTGTGTTGATTGTGTGTGTGTGTGTTGATTGTGTGTGTGTTGATGTGTGTGTGTGTTGATTGATTGTGTGTGTGTTGTGTTGATTGTGTGTGTGTTGATTGTGTGTGTGTTGATTGTGTGTGTGTTGATTGTGTGTGTTTGATTGTGTGTGTGTTGATTTGTGTGTGTGTGTGTGTGTGTGTGTGTTGATGTGTGTGTTGATGTGTGTGTGTGTGTGTTGATTGTGTGTGTGTGTTGATTGTGCGTGTGTGTGTTGATTGTGCGTGTGTGTGTTGATTGTGCGTGTGTGTGTGTTGATTGTGCGTGTGTGTGTTGATTGTGTGTGTTGATTGTGTGTGTGTTGTGTGTGTGTGTTGATTGTGTTGTGTGTGTGTGTTGATTGTGCGTGTGTGTGATGTGTGTGTTGTGTGTTGATGTGTGTGTGTTGATTGTGCTGTGTGTGTGTTGATTGTGTGTGTTGATTGTGTGTGTGTGTGTTGATTGTGCGTGTGTGTGTTGATTGTGCGTGTGTGTGTTGATTGTGCGTGTGTGTGTGTTGATTGTGCGTGTGTGTGTTGATGTGTGTTGATTGTGTGTGTTGATTGTGTTGTGTGTTGTGTGTGTGTGTGATTGTGTGTGATTGTTGTGTGTTGTGTGTTGTGTGTGTGTGTGTTGATTGTGCGTGTGTGTGTGTTGTTGTGTGTGTTGATTGTGTGTGTGTGTGTGTGTGTTGATTGTTGTGTGTGTTGATGTGTGTTGTGTTGATTGTGTGTGTGATTGTTGTGTGTGTTGATTGTGCGTGTGTGTGTTGATTGTGCGTGTGTGTGTTGATTGTGTGTGTGTTGTGTGTGCGTTGTGTGTGTGTTGATTGTGTGTGTGTGTTGATTGTGCGTGTGTGTGTTGATTGTGTGTGTTGATTGTGTGTGTGTGTTGATTGTGCGTGTGTGTGTTGATGTGTGTGTGTGTGTGTGTTGTGTTGATTGTGCGTGTGTGTGTTGATTGTGTTGTGTTGTGTGTGTGTGTGTGTGATTGTGCGTGTGTGTGTTGATTGTGCGATTGTGTGTGTTGATTGTGCGTGTGTGTGCGTTGATTGTGCGTGTGTGTGTTGATGTTGTTGTGTGTGTGTGTTGATTGTGCGTGTGTGTGTTGATTGTGCGTGTGTGTGTGTGTGTGTGATGTTGTGTGCGTGTGTGTGTTGATGTGTGTGTTGATGTGTGCTGTGTGTGTTGTGTGTGTGTGTGTTGATTGTGTGTGTTGATTGTGCGTGTGTGTGTGTGTGTGTGTGTGTGTGTGTGTGTGTGTGTGATTGTGTGTGTGTTGATTGTGTGTGTGTGTGTGTGTGTTGATTGTGTGTGTGTGTGTGTTGTGTGTGTGCGTGTGTGTGTGTGTGTGTGTTGTGTGTGTTGATTGTGCGTGTGTGTGTGTTGCTGTGTGTGTGTGTGTTGATTGTGTGTGTTGATTGTGCGTGTGTGTGTTGATGTGTGTGTGTGTTGATTGTGCGTGTGTGTGTTGATTGTGCGTGTGTGTGTTGCGTGTGTGTGTTGCAGGTATCCCTTCTACATGTTGGCGTGTCTGCACACACAGTGGCGGCTCTTGACTTGGCTCAGATACACCGTCTGGATCCCACTTTATCCTTTGGGAGTTTTAGCTGAAGGTTCGTTTTATTCAAATGTTAAACTCAGACTTTTCTCTGCTCGTTTGTGACTCTCTGTGTGTGTGTGTGTGTGTGTGTGTGTGTTGTGTGTGTTTGTGTGTGTTTGTTTTCAGCCGTGGCCGTGGTTCAGTCCATCCCCATCTTCGACGAGACTCGACTCTTCAGTCTCCCGCTGCCAAACGCCGTGGGAACATCCATCAAGTTTTCCTCTTTCCTTTACATTTATCTGATCGTCATGTTTGTGGGTGAGCTCCACATGCTCCATTTTTAACATTTTATCGTCCGTGTTTGTGAATCTCAATCATCAGGTGTTTTTTTCGCTCTGCAGGTCTTTTTATCAATTTCAAACATCTGTCCAAACAGCGGAGGAAGCGCTTCAGTGCCAAGAAGAAGAAAGCCCATGGATCTTAACTCCACTGCGGTTTATGTTTTTAGATTCATATTTGAAAATGTGAAATTGTTTTAGGACTGAACTTGTGTTTTTAACATAAAGATCTGATGAGTTTCAGGACATTTTCATGACCAGTGTGTGTTCAAAGTACCAGACTTTTATAAAAATCTGGTACTAAATCTGAATATCCAAGTATTTTGTAACAATAAACACAACAAACACTGTAAATGTGTCGAAAAGTTTATACAAAACATAAAAATATATGTACAAGTTTAACATCAGAGGGCGACTGTTTCATGACACAAACATCAGGTTTAAATACAAAAAGTTCCATTTTCATCTCTGACATTTACACGACTGTTTAAAGTCTGGACACGTCACACGTCCTCAGAGTTTGTTTGTTTGTTTGTCTTCTGTGTGTAAAATGTAGAGAAACAAACTTATGAAGATACATGGAAATATACAGCAACGAAAACAGTTCCGTTTTTTTAGATTTCATATTCACCCTTTGCTTTGTGCAGCTCAAACCCTCGTGCTTCAGGATAAAGTCCCTGAAATGGTTTTCAGTTCACAGCTGAGCCGTGTCGTGGTAAAAAAAATGCCAAAAGTGCAAACCAAAGCAAAGGGGAAAGTTCATTTTTTTCATTAAAACAAAGTATTTTGAGTTGTTTTTGGTTGTTCACATGTGTCCTTCATAGTTTTGATGCTTCAGTGTAAAGAATCCAGGAAATAAAGAAGAAACAACTGAAAGTGTCCAAACATGTGGTTCTGGTGCTGCGTCGGCTGGAGGAGTCCGTGTGCGTCGGTTCTAGGGATGGGCATGACTCGTCGATTAATCGATAATTGATCATTAAGAATTTCATGGATTCCATTCATTTTAATGGACAAACTGAATGTATGTGTGTGTGTCGTGACCAAACAGGTGTGTACATGTGTCTCTGCATCAGAAGGAGCGAGACACAAACAGTGGGTCAGTCTGTAACGAACCGAAGCACAAATGTGGATTTAACCAGGATTTGTAGAAGAAATTCCACACTTTCCGTTGCGTTGGGACAAGTGTGAGTCCATGTGCACAGTGGATAAAGCAGCACATATGTTTCTGTGTCCAGTGGGAAAAAGTTTTTCCAGGTGAGAGTCGCTCAATGTGGATGACGAGGCCCCGCCCCCCTCCCCCCGTACGCTGTCCTGGTTTTGACAAACACAAATCTGGTCACACTGACCTGTATTCACCTGAGTCATGTCTTTTAATCCAACACAAGTTGAACCACATCAGCGACACAAGAGCTGGAGTTTTATCTTCACTTAGTTTATGTAAATTAGTGATGTGGTTTTAAGTTTTGTTTCTGTGAGATTTGAACAAAACTGAATTAAACACATTATAATGTCAAACAGCTGATGTGGATCTAGAGTCGTTATGTTTATATGTCGTAAAGTTGAATTTATTGATGCAGATTAGTGCAGATAGTAATAATAATGATGATCATTTTAATAGAAAAACATTAATGATTAATCGATAATCGATCGTTAATTCTTCCGACGATCGATTAAGAAAATTTCATCGAATGCCCATCCCTAGTCAGTTTGGTTGGAGAAGTCCGTGTGCGTCGGTTGAAGTCCGTGTGCGTCGGTTGAAGTCTGTGTGCGTCGGTTGAAGTCCGTGTGCGTCGGTTGAAGTCCGTGTGCGTCGGTTGAAGTCCGTGTGCGTCGGTTGAAGTCCGTGTGCGTCGGTTGAAGTCCGTGTGCGTCGGCTGAAGTCCGTGTGCGTCGGTTGAAGTCCGTGTGCGTCGGCTGAAGTCCGTGTGCGTCGGCTGAAGTCCGTGTGCGTCGGCTGAAGTCGGTCCGTGAAGTGTGTCGTCGTGTGTCTGAAGTCCGTCGTTGAAGTCCGTGTGCGTGTGCGTCGGTTGAAGTCGTGTCGCGGTTGAAGTGTGCGTCGGTTGAAGTCCGTGTGCGTCGGCTGAAGTCCGTGTGCGTCGGCTGAAGTCCGTGTGCGTCGGTTGAAGTCCGTGTGCGTCGTTGGAGGAGTCTTATGTGCGTGGGCTCAGCTGGAGAAGTCCGTGTGCATGGGGGCGATGTTGTGGTCGAAGGCGGCGTACTGCGAGTCCCCGGTGCTGGCGAGTTTGAGCTGCTGGGCGGCGTGCGACAGCTGGAAGGCGGCGTCGGGGTGGGCGGAGTCCGGTAGCAGGGTGCACTCGCGCTCCAGCAGGTCGGCCACGCCCTTCAGCAGCTCCCAGAACCCGAACGCCAAAGCGGCTTTCCTCAAACGATTCAGCTCCTTTAAGACACAGAACGTTTAAAACCACAAACTGAATCAGACTCTTCACAAAGACGTCGGGGAAATGTCTGACCTTGTAGAACGTTTGAGTTTTGTCTGGTAGTTTCCTGGCGTTCCTCAGGATCTTCTGCACGTCCGTCTGAACATGACCCAAGAATGAAAACGCTGCAGTTAGAACGTTCCACAGAGTTGATCCAGATGTTTGCAGGTGTGTTTGTACCTGGAGTCCGCTGGCTTTGATCCACACCGTCACGTTCTGGGCGTAGCTGCGTTTCACCGGAGGCTGAACGGGAAAAGGACTTTTACTGTCGTCTTCTCCGTACGGGTTCTCCGGAGCTTCTGTGGAAGGAAAAACAACAACAACAAATGTTACTGATAAAAGTCACTTCCATCATCAACAAAGTTTATTTCAAAGTATAAATAAAAGTATAAAAGTATTTACACGGAGCTGTAGTGACACTGACCACATTTATGATTCTGTTGATTATTCACATAAAACCTCCTGTTTATTATTGACGAAGAAAAATATTCTTTAAAATCAGTTTAGGTTTAAGCTTCAGACAAAAGTGAAACGACTTCCTCTTGTGTCTGATGTAAAACACGACCAAAGTGAAGAAACGCAACTCTGACACAAATGTCCAGCAACAAAAAGAGCTGTAAACTTTTTTACAACATTTCTGATTAAATCCAAAGATCTGAATTTCACATTTACAAAAATCATCAGAATTTTAACCCTTTAACTGCCCTTTTGAAAGAATCTGTTTTTGTAAGAGGACATTTATGTCCTTAGGGTCATAAGTGTCACTTTTTATCTGAGTTTTCTGATGCAGAAGCAAAAACTCTTTAAAGGACTAAAAACTACAAGAATTAGATCTTTAGGATAAACTGAACTGCAACAATGGGACGACTGAAACGAAAAACAATCCATCTTGAAATCTGAGGATGGATTTATGTTTCCACATTTTTAAAAAGAATTCCCAATATTCACCAGAATTTGCTCCATTCCCTCGTGCACACACCTGTACTTCAAAAAACATGATGAGGAGAATCTGCCCCCCAACCCCCTTAAACCCAGCGCCCCCTGCGGGCGACTCACCTGGACCCAGCGCCTCCTGCGGGCGACTCACCTGAGATGGGTCCCAGGTGTGAGATCTTCCCGAGCCACGGCAGAGGCTCAGGTCCAGGCTCAAACAGTGACATCATCAGGTTGGACTTTTTTTTACTGTCGGCCTGAGAATAAAGCATCCCAAACCACTCCGGCCTGAAACACAAGGACAGGTGAGAGACAGGTGAGGGACAGGTGAGGGACAGGTGAGGGACAGGTGAGGGACAGGTGAGGGACAAGTGGGACAGAGGGACAGGTGAGGGACAGGTGAGGGACAGGTGAGAGACAGGTGAGAGACAGGTGAGGGACAGGTGAGGGACAGGTGAGGGACAGGGAGGTGGAGACAGGTGAGGGACAGGTGAGGGACAGGTGAGGGACAGGTGAGGACAGGTGAGAGACAGGTGAGGGACAGGGGAGGGACAGGTGAGAGACAGGTGAGAGGACAGGAGAGGGACAGGTGAGGGACAGGTGAGGGACAGGTGAGAGACAGGGAGAGGGACAGGTGAGGGACAGGGAGAGGAGACAGGTGAGGGACAGGAGAGGACAGGTGAGGGACAGGTGAGGGACAGGGGAGGGACAGGTGAGAGACAGGGAGGGACAGGTGAGGGACAGGTGAGGGACAGGTGAGGGACAGGTGAGAGGGACAGGGAGAGGGAGACAGGTGAGGGACAGGTGAGGGACAGGTGAGAGACAGGTGAGGACAGGTGAGGGACAGGGGAGACAGGTGAGAGACAGGGAGGGACAGGTGAGGGACAGGTGAGGACAGGTGAGACAGTGGAGACAGGAGAGACAGGTGAGGACAGGTGACAGAGGGAGGGACAGGTGAGGGACAGGGGGACAGGTGAGAGACAGGTGAGAGACAGGTGAGACAGGTGAGACAGGTGAGGGACAAGGGACAGGTGAGGGACAGAGGGAAAGGTGAGGGACAGAGGGACAGAGGACAGGTGAGAGACAGGGAGACAGGAGACAGGTGAGGGACAGGTGAGGGACAGGTGAGGGACAGGTGAGAGACAGGTGAGGGACAGGTGAGGGACAGGTGAGGGACAGGTGAGGGACAAGTAGGAGACAGGTGAGGGACAGACAGGTGAGAGACAGGTGAGAGACAGGTGAGGGACAGGGGAGGGACAGGGAGAGGACAGGAGAGGGACAGGTGAGGGACAGGAGAGGGACAGGTGAGGGACAGGTGAGAGACAGGTGAGGGACAGGTGAGGGACAGGTGAGGGACAGGTGAGGGACAGGTGAGGGACAGGTGAGGACAGGAGACATAAAAACCAGCAGAACATGGAGACAAACCCGAGCTGGACCAGAGCCACCATCCCCTCGACCTTCAGGCTGCCGTGGAGGAGAACGCAGAAGTTGGGACTCTTTCCGGCCATCTGACTGGACGAGGCCTCCTCCTCCAGCTCCTCCGAGGCTCCTGTGCTCACCTCGTCCACCTCTGCTCCAGGACACACACACACACACACACACACACACACACACACACGAGGTCAGTGACGGAGCTCGACACGTGATCTACGAGAACTTATCGCTCCCAGATTCTGCACACCACCCGGTCCACGTCAGAATGTCGTCTCCTCCTTCTTCTCTCAAACCAGAAACACATCATGAGGAGGAATAAAGAAGCGCTCCACACACCTTCACTACAATCGTTTGGTGAATTCTTGCCGATCTCGACTGAACTAAAGAGAAAAGCAGCTGCTGACATCACGAGGTGGAACAGAGTGGAGCTGTAAGGACCAAAAAAGTGCCTGATTGTTCACTTTTATGGGACAAGCGTGAAACTTTACCAGATTATTAAACATCCTGAGGAGCAACATTTGTGGAAATGGAACCGAGCCCAAGTCGACCCTGGAGCCGAGTCCTGCACATGTCACAAAACGACCGACATGGAAACGAGGCTGAGAGAGAAACTACGGCTTAAAAGAAGATAAAGGAGCCGTCAGTGAGCGTGTGACTCATAAATATCTTGGAACATTCATTGATTCAAAATTTGAGCTTTGACGATAATTGTTCTGTGTGTAAAAGAGGCACCAGCGTCTTCACTGTCAGAGAAAGTTTTCCTTTTCCCGTGTGGACAGAACCATGACGACACTGTTCTATGAAACGTTTATGGAATCAGTTTGAATGTTTTCATTTGTCTGGTGGTTTGGAGCGTCTCTGCTAAAAACAAGAACCTCCTGAATCAGTCGGTGAAACGGGCGAGTTTGGTGATTGTTCCTCCTCAGAGGCGCTGGACTCTCTGGACTCAGGACACTCACAGACGACCCAGAGGATTCTAAAAAACGTGAAACATCCAGTGGTAAATGGTCACATTTTTCTATAGCGCTTTTCCACCTTCAAGACTCAAAGCTCTTTACAATCAGACCCAAAAATTAATTTTCAAAAAAATTCTCACCAGGCGAGAAAATACATTTTTGGGTCTGATTGACCCGCCCCAAGAGAGCGGGAAGAAAAAAAAAAGTTTCTTCGGGTCAGTGTGACCCCGAGGAGAGAGTGAGGGTTAAAAACAACACAGACTGACTGAAGTGAGTTTATAAAGTTGCAGTTGGTGGAGAAAAAACAGAAAACGTATTTTTATGATAAATGGTCACATTTTTCTATAGCGCTTTTCCACCTTCAAGTTTCAAAACTCTTTACAACAAGGAACAGCTCACCCATTCACACACCAGTGCACACAGACACTGTGGGCAAGGTGGGTTAAGTGTCTTGCCCAAGGACACAACAGCAGCATTCATCTGTGGGAGCTGGAAGTCACACCACCAACCTGTGGGTCAGTGGATCTGACGCTCAACCTGTGATGTTTATGTTGAGAGCTGCAATCGAACCACCAACCTTCAGATCAGTGGGCGAATGCTCCACCACCTGAACCACTGCCGCCCAATAAACTCAGAGCTTCAGCTGCTTCCATCTGAGGCTTTTAGTCCCAAGATCTGGAACGAATCGTTTCAAAAGGCATTTTGTTCAGGCTGCTGACGTATTTATGAATAAACTGTCATCGATTTATCTAACAACTTGGAAAACTTATTTAATATTTATTGTGATTTTAGTCAAGTGTGATGGATGAATTTAACTAACTGTTTGTTGTTTTTTTTCATTTGTATTTTATTGTCTTTTCACAATGTGGATTTACATGATAATTAAGCAAACAAAGTAATTTACAAATTGTCCATATTAAGTCAATTCTGAATGTCCAAAGTCCCTAGTTCGGCATTTCCACATTTCTCATTTCTACTTGCACAAACTGTAATGTAACTTTCATAAGAACAGGTAATTAATACAAAAAATAGATAAATAAAATAAAACACTGTAGCTTTAAACTGGGGTGTAAATTCAGTCTTTGTTTTCCGGACAATCACACAGGTTCTACACAAAGTCAGATCTATGTTGTTTAATATAGTGTAACCATCCTTTCCATTTTTTTTTAAAATTTATGACCTTCCAATCTAAGTGAAGCGGTGAGTTTTTCCATATTATAAATACTTCATATTATATCAAACCACTCTTCTATTTTAGGCCTCTGATCACTTTGCCATCTCCTGGTTTAACTGTTTATGGAACAAATCGTTCTGCTCTGGAGCTCTGTAAAACTTTAATTGTAATTGTGTTTTTATACGCGTTTTGTGGATGAATGAAATGTGAAATGTGGAACCTGCCGCTCAAATCTGCAGAGCAAATTTACCTGCAGGTACGAAGAAAGCGACTGAACCGAACCTAAACCTCCTTTTTTTGGGAAAATAATGTTAAATGATCAGATATTATCACTGATGCTTCCGCTTCTGCAGATATGAGCCCAGACTCTTCCACTCGTGCGTGTGGCCCTGGGAAATCAGCACGAATCTTTATCTTCTATTGGTTATTTATGGCACCGTTAAAAGTCCAGCCTGTGGTGAATAATGGACAGAGATTGTGAACAGGTAGAAACGGAGAAAGATTAAAAGGTTTTCATTCTGCACTCTTCTCTCCAATTTATGTCTCTCTTTTTTTATTTTATTTTAATCTTCATGATTATTTATGTTTTGATTTGTTTTTATTATGATTTTAATGTATTTCTTATTCTGTAAAGCACTTTGAAATACTTTGTGTACGAATTGTGCTGTACAAATAAACTTGCCTTGCCTATTTTGGTACAAGCATAAACGATAAACTTTTGTGCCTTCTTCATTTCTGTTATTAGTTTGTACGACCATAAACGAAAACAAAAAAATCCTTACATTTTTCATTCTCATCACTGTTTCTTTTGTACGATCATAAAGGATAAACTTAGTGCCTACGATAACGTTATTATACGTTTGTACGACCAGAAACGAAAATATGTTTCTGCATGTGTGTGTGTGTGTATGTGTGTGTTATGTTCAGTGTTGGGGAGTAACAGATTACATGTACTGGAGTTAAGTAATCAGAGTACAAATGATGAGTAACTGTATTCAGTTACAGTTACTGTTTCAGTGAGTGGTAATTGGATTACAGTTACTTTGTTGAAATAAATGGATTAAACAGAGGGATTTTCCTGTTTTCACATTTTGGACTATATCCCCCCCGTAATTCCACTCATTGCCGGACACTAAACCAGGTCTAAACCAGGTCTAAACCAGGTCTAAAACCAGGACTAAACCAGGTCTAAACCAGGTCTAAAACCAGGTCTAAACCAGGTCTAAAACCAGGACTAAACCAGGTCTAAACCAGGTCTAAAACCAGGTCCAAACCAGGTCTAAAACCAGGTCTAAAACCAGGACTAAACCAGGACTAAACCAGGATTAAACCAGGTCTAAAACCAGGTCTAAACCAGGTCTAAACCAGGTCTAAAACCAGGTCCAAACCAGGTCTAAAACCAGGACTAAACCAGGACTAAACCAGGATTTAACAGGACTAAACCATGCTGCATGTATGTATGTATGTATGTATGTATGTATGTATGTATGTATGTATGTATGTATGTATGTATGTATGTATGTATGTATGTATGTATGTATGTATGTATGTATGTATGTATGTATGTATGTATGTATGTATGTATGTATGTATGTATGTATGTATGTATGTATGTATGTATGTGTATGTATGTATGTATGTATGTATGTGTATGTATGTATGTATGTGTATGTATGTATGTATGTATGTATGTATGTGTATGTATGTATGTATGTATGTATGTATGTATGTATGTATGTATGTATGTATGTATGTATGTATGTATGTATGTATGTATGTATGTATGTGTATGTGTATGTATGTATGTATGTATGTGTATGTATGTATGTATGTATGTATGTATGTATGTATGTATGTATGTATGTATGTATGTATGTATGTATGTATGTATGTATGTATGTATGTATGTATGTATGTATGTATGTATGTATGTATGTATGTATGTATGTATGTATGTATGTATGTATGTATGTATGTATGTATGTATGTATGTATGTATGTGTATGTATGTATGTATGTATGTGTATGTATGTATGTATGTATGTATGTATGTGTATGTATGTATGTATGTATGTGTATGTATGTATGTGTATGTATGTATGTATGTATGTATGTATGTATGTATGTATGTATGTATGTATGTATGTATGTATGTATGTATGTATGTATGTATGTGTATGTATGTATGTGTATGTATGTATGTATGTATGTGTGTATGTATGTATGTATGTATGTATGTGTGTATGTATGTATGTATGTATGTATGTATGTATGTATGTGTGTATGTATGTATGTATGTGTATGTGTATGTATGTATGTATGTATGTATGTATGTATGTATGTATGTATGTATGTGTGTATGTATGTATGTATGTGTATGTATGTATGTATGTATGTGTATGTATGTATGTATGTATGTGTGTATGTATGTATGTATGTGTATGTATGTATGTATGTATGTATGTATGTATGTATGTATGTATGTATGTATGTATGTATGTATGTATGTATGTGTATGTATGTATGTGTATGTATGTATGTATGTGTATGTATGTATGTGTATGTATGTGTGTATGATGTATGTATGTATGTATGTGTGTATGTGTATGTGTAATGTATGTATGTGTATGTATGTATGTATGTATGTATGTGTGTATGTATGTATGTATGTGTATGTATGTATGTATGTATGTATGTATGTATGTATGTATGTATGTATGTATGTATGTATGTATGTATGTATGTATGTATGTATGTATGTATGTATGTATGTATGTATGTATGTGTATGTATGTATGTATGTATGTATGTATGTGTGTATGTATGTATGTATGTATGTGTGTATGTATGTATGTGTGTATGTATGTATGTATGTATGTATGTATGTATGTGTATGTATGTGTGTATGTATGTGTGTATGTATGTATGTGTATGTATGTATGTGTATGTATGTATGTATGTATGTATGTGTATGTATGTATGTATGTATGTATGTATGTATGTATG